CAGACAAACGCTGGCTGTGGCTTTCATTTCTATAGGGCATGTGAAAGCCATTAGTGTAGTCACTGTGATTTAAAGACCCTTTTGATCACGCATCTTGCAAACGTCTTCCCTTCTGCACAGCCATGCAGTGACTGTGCCCTTCTGTGTCTCCCTGGGTTCGTGCTGCCCAGCACTCATCTCCAGGGCGTTTTTGGCGGCAGGGATGAGGCCCATCGTACAACCGGCTTGTACCCTTTGGGGAATCTCTGCGGTGCTCTGCTGTGCCAGGCTGCTGGGTCTGTTCATCCCCTTTGCTTTGCCTTCAGCCCTCATCCCAGCATGGGGCAGAGGATGGGGAGAAAGCAGTGCGAGGATCTCAGCCCTCCGCTGCAGAGCATCGCCGCTGGGTGTCAGTGCCGCCCCGCAGCCCGGAGAGCTCGCAGGGCAGAAGGACGCACGCCCACAACCAGTTCTATTCGTTTTGCCCTTAAAACAAGCAGGTTGGAAGAAATCTCGCTCGGAACATTCGTCTGAGCTTTAAATCGGGGTCCTGGGCTCGTGTCCTTCCAGTCCATCCCCAGGGAAATGCCTTCTCTGCAGAGGTTGGGAGCTGCGCTTGGGGATCTGACTGCTGAGCTGGGTTTGCTGGAGAGCTGGTGTGAGAAGCGACTGAATGAAGGAGAGGAATAGATGATCTCAACATAAATGCACTCAGCACAGCCACGAGAGGGCTCCCGTGGCTCGCAAGTGCTGCTTCAGCATTGGCTCGCAAGTGCTGCTTCTTCAGCATCGATTGCCTCAAACCCCTCATTCCACACACAAAGCTGTTTTACCCATCCCTCGGTGCAGCGCTGTAGTTCCCACAGGGCCCTTTAGAAGTGAGATAATTTGGTGATTCTATGGCTCTAAAAGCCGATTGCAATGCTGGGACAGAGGGCTGCAGGGCTGCATCGGCCCCACGAAAGCCGGGTGCTGCGCTCACAGCAAAGCTGGGTGCCGAGAGCAAAAGCACGCGGGGATTTCACCCCAAAGGACGCAAACTCGGCTTCCTCAACCTGCCGGCACCCACGTCTTTATTGTCTATTTTGAACTGAATTTGGATTTTCAACGCAAGGCATCGCATCGCATCACTCGTAACACCAGCAGAGGGCTGCCTTGCCGCGGGCTCGGAGCTGCGCTTTGCCCCGGTGGAGGCACTCCAGCCTCAGCACTGAAGTAATCCGAAGCCGTACCGAAAATCACTCCTCTAGGAAAAAAAAAAAAAACCCAAAAAATCAAAAAAACAAAACAAAACCCAAGCTCCAAACCAGGCACGAATCCCCTCTCGTCCCTGTTTCCCCGCTGATGTTAATGGGCTGATGGGAATGCAGAACTGGGGCAGTGGTTTGGATCTACACACATCTCTGCTCTTCTGCAGACCTGGTGTGTGCAGGCATGTTTGGTGGATGGATTTGTGCTGTGAGCATCACGTGAAGTTAATTAATTAAGCCATCAAGGGTGGAGCCTTCTTGGGAAGATGTATATCATATAAGGGCTGTGTAGTCCTGGCTCATAAACCTTTGTGCTGGGCTGTCAGTGGGTGTGAATGATAACAGATGTGACATTGGCTTGGGGGAATACGTGAGGCCATCTTCTATCTCCCCTAAATTTCCACTTCTGCTGCTTCAGAGCATCCTTGAAAAAACCTGTTGGACTCAATGATCCCCACGTGTGCTTCCAACTCTGGGTTTCTATTCCATGATCCCATGAAAGCTGCTTTTCCCATGGCCATGTTCCTTTAAATGGGAGCAAGCCTTGAATACCAGGGGATGGAAAGAGGGGGATTTTGGATGCTTTCTAGATATATGAACCAGCAGCACCTCAGGACCTGCAACACCAGCTGGAAATAGGGTAAAAACTTGTTAGGATGTTTTTCTATGCCTCTCAGCATTCCCTTACCAGGTGCCAGCGGTGCCATGTGGGCCACGTGGTCACCTCCATGTGCTCGGGTTCCTTGCTGCTCTCTCCCTCGATGACCCTATCCAGACACAGCTTTTCTCCAGGCCTTTCTTTCCTGGAAAGCCTCTTAACAACACGCTTTGAGTCATCTTCAGCCCCTGGAGAGGATCCTCCTTCCTGCCCATGTGGTGGGGAGCAGGGAGAGCACAGCCTGAACTTTTGGGATGGAGCCCGGGCTGCAGGGCCGCAACGCCAGCTCTCCCCTGGCTGCAACCCTTCTTTTCTATCTTTGCTGTGCCGCTCTTGGCCCATCTATCTTTATTTATTTTGTGAGCAGGAATGTCCAGGGGAGGTGTGAGGTTTTTCGCTCACCTTTTATTTCGGACTTCTCACCCCTGGAATTGCATTGATGGATGAGGAAATAATAAGAGAAAAGGAGTTGTTGCTTCCCACAGTCACTTGAGAGGAAAGGAGGAGGTGGGAGAAGAAATCCTCAGATGCCAACCTCTCACATCAGCATTTCCTGGTCAGGGTGGGCTATGGGTGAGGCCTGGGTGAGAAGGGATTCACCTTAATGTGGGCTTTGGACGAAAATCAAAGTAGGATCAGAATTTGAGGCATTTATATCTTGGTATCTGTGAGGTCAAAAGGCATCTCTCACCTCTCTTCATTCTTCTTTAGGTCATCTCTATCCCTTCCATTTCCATTCAGCTCGGGCAGCAGCCAGGTGCAGCCCTGCAGAACCTCACCAGGCCCACCGTCCCACTGCTGGGGTGTCCCACGCTGCCCTGCTCCTCCACACAGCAGCAAGCATCTTGCTGCCCCCACCAGCCCTGGCCCTGTCTGCTTTCTCTCATCTGCCCCTTCGCACTGGCAGGAGACACAACAGAGATGTTTCCCCTGTGAGTTCCTCTTCGTGCCTCAGAGCAGACAATGCAATCAGGGGTTTGTCCACGTCTTGTCCTTGAGATAGGGGAAAAATGAAAAATAATGCCTTGCTTCTTGCCTGCAGTGCTCTGTGGGATGCCAGCAGCCCCAGGCTGCCTGCAGAAGAGGTGCCCTAAGAGCTGCCTGTAGGCAGTTTGTGATCCGTGGAATCCACAGCTTTCCCATGAACCACAGGCAGGAAAAGGAAGGCAGCAGAACCTGGCAAACAAAGCTCTGTGGGTAGTGATGCCCCAGGAAAGAGTGAGGGCAGGGCAGAGGGCTGAGCTGCATCACTTCCCTCTGACCCCAAAGACGCTGTACACAGCAACAGCCCAAAGCCATTCTCAGGGGATGGAGTGGGTCCCAGCTCAGCCAGATCCAAGCCACTCACATTTTCTGCCTGCTTTCCCCATCAGGATGCAGTCAGATGTTCTGCAGGCTGGAGATAAAGTCCTGCCAGTTCTCTTTGACTCATCCTCTGCTGCTGGAGAAAAACTACCAGACGCAATGATGAGTAACCCTGGGCTGTGGCACCTGGAGCCAGGGTGCTCTCGTGGGGATCCTTTTGCTCTTTTTTCCATCTTCTCCTCACTGCCAGCCCTGTGGGCCAAGACCCCCTGAGCTCCTGCCCCGTGACAGCCCTGTGCTTTGCCTTCTGCCCTTCTCCCTGGTCTCCAGGGGTAAACTCACCCCTTTGAAAGGTGCGGTGTTGCAGGATGTCCATGCCCATGTCAGCACTTTTCCCCTTCACCCCTACTCACTGTTCTGCCAGTGTTATCTACCAGCATCCTGGGGCATGTTGCATTTTGTCCAGCAGACAAACTCCCTGATTCACTGAGTGCAATCTGGGACCCCACTTCAGCTGCAGGGATAAGGGACAACTGAGCACAGCCTGGTGAGAAAGCATTGCACTGGAAAGTGCTGGCACCAACATGAGCCAGGCTGCCAGCTCTGTGTCTATGCCTTGGGTTGTATTTCATATACACACGCATTTTCAAGCTGTGCTTGCAGCCTTTGCTGAGGCTTGAAATCACATCAAAACCGGTGTCTCTGCAACAGGGCCTTAATTTGCCATTAAACAAACCCAGACTGCTGGAAAAGCTGTGAGGATGTGCACGCCTCGGGTGCCTGGGAGTGGAAAAGTCCGTGCTTCCCTCTGGGCACAGAATCAGCCTGCATGGAAACAGAGCAGCAGATAGAGACCCACCTGGGCACCTTCCCATGCAGCCTGTCCCGGTGTCTGTGTGCTCATCACTGGCAGTAAATTTGGTCCTTGGCCTCACACAAATGCTGAGGCCTCTTCACCATTCTCCCTTTAGCTGTCTTCCTCTACTGGATTCCATCCATGATGGGATGCTTCTTTCCCCTGATAGTATCAGCAGCCTCAACCTCCTCGCAGCCCCAGGCCCTGCTCTGATGATCACAGTGCATTTAGAGGCTATGAGGAAACCCCTCTCTTCCTTTACACTCCTTACAGCATGCCCTGGGCTCTCAGCAGACACTTTGGATGCTAACACTCCCTGTGTGCACCCTGCAGTGGCCTTGGGGATGCAGGGAGGCTGCGCTCCTGCCGAGCAGCTGGAAGCACCACCTGGTTGAAGCCTGTGATGGAGCTGGGGCAGGGCAGCGTAGGATGCGCTGGTCCTGGAGAGAGAGGAGCTCTGGGATACCCTGGTGCGTAACACAAGACGTGGTGTTTCACAGCAGAAGCCCACCGATCTCCGTACTGAACTCCTGAAGGAGAACAAGAGCAAATCCCAGAGACCCCGACCAGTGCATCCTGCTGAACAGACCCACCTCAAAACCCTTCCAGTTCCCAGCCCGGCCCCCGCTCAGCTCCCCGAGTTGCAGCAGTCTCCTTCAGCCCCGCGGGTAGGTAAGGAACCCCCTCCAGTTCCGCAGCACGGAGCCGGGGTGCAAAGTCCGGCTTCCTCCGTCCCTTCCCGCAGGCGCCGGGGGAAGGCGGCAGCGATTCCCGGGCGGAGCGCTCCTCTCCCGGCCCCGCTCCTCTCTCGGCCCCGCTCCTCTCCCGGCCCCGCTCCGCTCCCGGCCCCCCGCACCGGAGTGGCTGCTGCGAGGCCAAGCCGCGCCCCGCTCCCCCCGGCCCCGCTGTATATAAAGGCGATGCGCCCCAGAAGGCAGGTAGCGGCGGGGCAGGCGGCTCGAGCGGCCGCTCCGCTCTCTCCAGCCGAGTTTTAGCAAAAAGAAGGAGGGACGGAGGAAGCAGCAGCAGCAGCAGCAGCAGCAGCAGCAGCAGCAGCAGCAGCAGCAGCAGGGACTGGCTCCTGCTTTCTCCCCCCATGTGAGCCGGGACGATGCTGCCGCTGCTGCTGCCGCTGCTGCTGGGCGCCCGCGCGCTGAGCGCACCCCCGGGGGACACGGCGGTGGTCACCCCGCTCCGCCTCGACCCCGACATCAACGGGCGGCCCTACTTCAGGCGCGGCCCCGCCGAGGCCGTGGTGTTCCAGCTGTCGGCTTTCGGGGAGGATTTCTACCTGCATCTCTCCCCCGACGCCGGATTCATCGCCCCCGCCTTCGCCGCGCACTACCTGGGCTCCGCGCCCGGTGCCTCCCGTCCCCATCACCTCCGCCACTGCTTCTACTCGGGGGATGTCAACGCCGACCGAGAGTCCTTCGCCGCTCTCAGCCTCTGCGGGGGGCTCCGGGGGGCTTTCGGCTACCGGGGAGCCGAGTACACCATCAGCCCGCTGCCGGGAGCGGAGCACGGCGGGGCTCATCGCCTGCAGCGCCGCAACGTCGCCCACCCGCTGGGTGCCTCCGCGTCGCGCTGCGCGGTGGGCTCCGGGCTCACCCCAGGGGTGCTGCAGGCTCTGGAGAAATACCGGGGGAGAGCGGCCGGGGGGAAGGCAGGAGGGAGAACCAAACGCTTTGCCTCCGTGCCCCGATATGTGGAGACCTTGGTGGTGGCCGATGAGTCCATGGTGAAGTTCCACGGGGATGACTTGCAGCACTACCTGCTCACCCTCATGGCCACGGCCGCCCGCCTCTACAAGCACCCCAGCATCCGCAACCCCATCCAGATCTCCGTCGTCAAGTTCCTCCTCATCGGGCAGGACGACAAAGGGCCCAAAGTCACCAGCAACGCCGCCCTCACCCTGCGCAACTTCTGTGCCTGGCAGAAGAAGTGGAACAAAGTCAGCGACAAGCACCCCGAGTACTGGGACACCGCCATCCTCTTCACCAAGCAGGTGGGTGCGGATCCTTGGGGAAGGGTGGACGACCCAGCAGGGCTGCCCTCCTCCCCTTCAGGTGTCCTGCACCCTGCCACCCCTCCTGTGTCCCTACCACCCTGCTCCCCAGGAGCTCGCTGTCTGGGTTGGATGGTTGGGAGGGAGACAGCACTGCAGAAATCTGACAGGGGAGCGAGGCCAGGAGGTGCACAGAGGCAGGTTGCCCATGCACCCGTGAAACTGCCACTCAGCCCCCCGTTGGCAGCCAGCTCTGCCACCCAAAATGCAGGGCCTGAGCAGGGCAGTGACACCTGCCAAGAAAAAGCCTCTCCCTGCTTCCTCTGAGTCATGCACGAGGTCCTCCTGAGAACCTGGAGCTCTCCTCTTTGCCCTGGCTGCTCCACGTGGACTGAATTCAGGGCTGGAAGGACAGCCAGCACTCAGCCCAGGGAACAGAGCCTGCTGCATCCCTGCTGGGCTGCAAGGAGGCTTTGCTGTGCTGCCCTTGTTTCTTGCTGGAAATGTCACCATGATAGGCAACCAGCAGCACCAGCCCTCAGTTGCTGTAGGGAGGGGAAGAGGATGCACCCCTTTCAAGGGGACACAGTCACATTTCACCCCAAACACAGCGGGTTTGGCCAGCAGCGGCAGTTTGCATTTTCTCTTTCCCCTGTCCCTGCCCAGATGTCTTTGGATTAGGGACAGGTCAGGAACTCTGCTCAGCAATTCTGAGGCCATTCCCAAAACTTCTTTCCAAGTCAAGCACACGTGGGTGGGAAGGGCGTAGCTTCCAGCTCACTCAGCACGTGTTAGCAGCAGTGATGCTGTGTGGGACGTGAGACCCCGGCCCCAGCAGGGGCTGCATCCCCTGGCAGGGTGTAAATCTGCTGGAGCTGCTCCTGCCTGCACCAGCCAGCTGTGAAGGGGAGGAGGCAGCTCCGTGGCTGGTGGAAGCCTGGTGAGGTCAGCGGAGCTGCACGTGGGACAGAGCTGGTCCCAGAGATCTGACAGCCTCTCCATCCTGCAGCATGCAGCATGGCCGGGCTGCATTTTTTACACATTGCTAAGCCATCCATTTCTGAAATCCCAAGGCAAGCTCCATGCAAAGGCACACGATCAAGGAGACATCTGCCTTCCTTGAACGCATCCATCTGCGGTCCCCCGACACCCCAGAGCTTATCTCCCTGCCAAAAGGCTGTTACATAAGACCCCGACTTAAGTTTCACTTCGAGCTCGGTTGATCGGCAGTTTCCAGTTGTGTCAACACGTTGCTGATGGATGGGCTGTACTGCCTGCACTCCCTGCGCCAGACCTCGGATTCGCCTTTGGGGAGCTCAGTGCTGCTCGGCTGGGTGGTGTGGATGTGCCGTGGGATTTCTGCCTTCCTACCTGAGCTGGTGCATGCTGGAAGGACTGCAGAGCACTCATCCTGCTGATGCCCCTTGGAAATGATGTTGCAAATCACAGAGAAATGTTTGACCGCAATTTTCATCGTCTCCAACCTTGATGTCCACCAGCTGTAACAGCAAAAGCTTGCTGAGCCTGCCATCAGCTGAAGGGATATTACACCAAAGGATGTCTCGCAGTAGCTTGGCATCACGGGGGAGTTTAGAAACCCAACAGTTTCAGCACTTTGAGGAGCTCACATTTTTGGGATTGCTTTGGACACATGCACTGGGGAGCATCGACAGTTGGGAGAGCGCTTGTGTGATGGCCTTGGCCTCTGAGCATGGGAATGAAGGTAAAAGCCACAGGGATCCCCCTCAGGTGGCCTGCAGACCATCTTGAGAAGCTTGCAAGAACAGCCTTTGGAAGGTGTCCAGGGATGAATCTAGGGCTCCTGGTTTTATTTCTGGCTGTCTGCACGCAGAGGACGTGCCAGGTGTCAGTGCTTGGGTAGCCCTCTTCCCATCCTGGTGTTCGCCCAGGAGTTCCTTCCCAGCCCTCCTCCCATTCCCCTACTGCTGCTCCCATTCCACTCCCTCAGCCCCAGAGATACATTTGAGGGGTTTTAGGACCCCTTCATTAGAGCCCAGAGCTGCTTCCCCTGGGGCTGAGGTTGGGTTCTGAGCCCGGGCAGGGGGGTGATGGAATGCCCCACAAAGAGCTGCTCCTTCCTGCAGCCCCACAGCCAGCAGGAGAGGCTGGCTGAGAATGAGAAGTGGGTCAGTGTGTCAGCGCAGGTGCTGGGCTGGGAGCCAACAGCTCTCTGTGCCGGCCAGGAAACAGGAACTCCTAAAAGAGCAATGAATAGGGAGCGGCTGCTCCTCCTCACCTCCCTGGGGCACCCCATGCACCCCACATCACCTCCAAACCCACAGCGCTGGCACTGTGGCATCCTTCTCATGGCCAGGTGTAGCTCTGGACTTCACGCTGGCTGGGATGTGCTGGTTCCCACTGTGGGATGGGGACACTGTGCACGAGACAGGACCTGGGATTCAATGGGGTCCCAGTGGATGCGGAAAGCTGTTGTGAAGCAGAGTTGAAGCTGTTTATAAGACAGGGTTTTCCACCAGCCACAGCAGCCAGGATGGATTCTGGGCTCAGCTGTTGGAGCCTCCTCACCACCTCACAGCACCTTGCCAGCCCCACACCCCATGCCTCGGCGGTTCCTCTCCCACGAGAGCAGTCCTGTCTGCTTTTTGCAGCCCTGCAGCTGCTGCTAAACCCATCTCAGCTCTGGCCGGGGCTTTCTGGCGTTCTTGGGGCCATTACCGATAGCTGAACCTGCCTGCATGGGAATGCCTTCAGCCTGGAAACCTTGCTGGAAATGTTGGCAGAGTGGCTCCTGTGAGGTTTCTAGCAACACAGGAACGTTGGCTGGCTGGGAGCTGAGCATGAATCACTCTTATTTATAGCATGGGAGCACCCGGACAGTCCCTTACGTTTTCTTTTCATGTGGAAAGCTGCAGCGCTTCTCCCTGCCCTGTGCACAGCTGCCACTACAGCTCCATGGGATGAAATACCCCAGGGGTGAAGCTGCAGGGATCCATCCACCCTGCTGTGCTGCTTTGGGGTGTGCTGGCCAAAGGCAGTGATTGCAGATTGAGAAGAAATCACAGCACTGCCCATCCAGGAGAACAAGGCAGTGGATGAGAGCAGGGTTTGGCTGAGCCCAGGATGGGCAGTGCTGCCTTTGGGGTTGGCACAATATCTCTTGGAGAGGAGTGGAGGAATGGGAGCATCTGAGGTTAACTGCTGGGCTGCGGCATGTCCTCAGCCAGCAGCTTTTGGTTTGCAGTAGCACCTGTGGATGCTGGGGGTGGCATCCTCCTGTGGTGCTGGGGTCTGGGCTGGTTCATTGCAGCAACTGGGCTTGCTTGCTCCTGGAGAAACATCAGTTGTCATTGAGGACACAGGAGCAGTTCCCTTAGCATGCTGGGCCTGCTTTGGGATCTTCTTATCACTAGGAAATGGAGAGATGGCTCAGCTGTCAGCCAGGGCCAGGTCTTTCCACTGACCTGCCTGGGTCCAGACCTTGAGCTCACAGAAGGATGGAGCCAAGCTGGCTCCTCTGCGCTGAAATGGGCTCCACCCTGCCTGGAGGAAACGCTGACACCAAAGGCACAGGAGGATGCTGTGTGTAACAAAAGGGTCACATGCAAAAATGCCACTGAGTCACCATCCCTGGAGGTGTTCCAGAACCACGGAGACGTGGCACTGAGGAACACTGTCAGTGGGCACGGTGAATGATTTTGTGATTCCGTGTTTCCTCCGCGCCCTGGGGCTGCGAGGTCCCCATTCTCTGCAACTGACACCTGCCCTGGGGTCGGGTCCTCCGGGGGTAAAGGGGCTGCGGTGGGAATAGGGCCAAGTACCAACCCCAAGATTAACCCCTTACTTCTCCACAGGACCTGTGCGGTGCCACCACCTGTGACACGCTGGGCATGGCCGACGTGGGCACCATGTGTGACCCCAAGCGCAGCTGCTCCGTCATTGAGGACGATGGGTTGCCCTCAGCTTTCACCACGGCCCACGAGCTGGGTAAGGCATGCCTGGGGGCTCTGCATGGGACGGGGTGCTCTGGGCCCCAGAACACTGGGGGGATGCAGTGCATCGCAAGCCCTGCATTTTTAGAGAAATCGCATTTTTGGTCTGAGGGCTGTGCTTGCAATGGATGTGCTGCTCTGCCTCATGTCCTCAGTGTCACCAAGCCTCATCCTCCAGCGCTGCTTAGTAATCAGGAGCAGCAGCAAAGTTCAAAATAGCCCCAGTTCAGCCTACGGAAGGCCAGACAATGACAGGCATCCGGAGAGGGGAAACTCCACCTCAGCGGGGGGGAGGAAAGGGCTGAGAAAGTGAAAGGCATCACTGTTGTGATTGCTGGGTTTCCAGAATTTGAGAATCCTGAAATAGCAGAGAGGGATGCTGAGGGAGCACCGACTTCTGGAGACACTGGTGTGGTTCCGCAGGGTGAAGGAAGAGCTCTGATCTCCTTTTCTTTGAGGTTTCCTTTGACCTTCCTCAAATGATGGCCATCCATGATGCAGATGGGAAAGCACGTTGGAAAGGCTTGGGGTGCTGCAGCCAGGGTGGCTCACATGTGCCTGTCTTGCAGCTTCCAGCATCCATGTTCAGCCCAAGCCAGGGCTTTTGCAAGCTCTGTGCTTCCCCAGGCAGCTCCTCCTCCTCTTGAGCTGCCCACAGCCTTTGCAGTTGTTACAAGGAATACCATGCTCCTTGCCTCAGTTTCCCCCTCTACACTGAGCAATGCCAACTGGGATTATTCACGTTCTCCCCCTTTCCATTTCCCAGGCCATGTCTTCAACATGCCCCACGACAACGTGAAGGCCTGTGAGGAGGTCTTTGGCCGGCTGAAGACCAACCACATGATGTCTCCCACCCTCATCCAGATCGACCGTGCCAACCCCTGGTCAGCCTGCAGTGCTGCCATCATCACCGACTTCCTTGACAGCGGCCACGGTGAGCTCTTCTTGTTCTCCTATCCTTGTCCCCATGCTGTCCTTATCCCTGCGATGGTGATGGGGACAGGCTGTTGGGGTAGGCAGCAAATTTCTCCTTGCTCTCCCAATAAATCGAGAAGGAAACATAGAGCTGAGTGGTGTTTCAGTGGGCTGAGCTGGGGCTGAATGCGAGGTAGCTCCGGTCCCATGAGGACCGGCTCAACGTTCCCCTCCCTGCTTCCTCAGGAGACTGCTTGCTGGACCAGCCCTCCAACCCCATCCCGCTGCCCGAGGACCTGCCGGGGACGAGCTACAGCCTGAACCAGCAGTGCGAGCTGGCCTTCGGTGTGGGCTCCAAGCCCTGCCCCTACATGCAGTACTGTGCCAAGCTCTGGTGCACCGGCAAAGCACGCGGGCAGATCGTGTGCCAGACACGGCACTTCCCCTGGGCTGATGGCACCAGCTGTGGGGAGGGACGCTTCTGCCTGAAAGGAGCCTGCGTGGAGAGGCACAACGTCAGCAAGTACAGGGTGAGTACCTGCGAGTCCAAAAATGCCCTGTAGACGATGGCTTGGCACTTCTGCATGGGTGCTGGCTGAGCAGTCTCCAGCAGGGTCTATCAAAGGGGATAATAATGGAGGAAGGTGAGGAGAGAGCAGGGATAGACAGTGCAAGCAGGCTGGATGCTGCTATGCTCCTATAGAAGATCTGGGATAGGCAAGCCCGCAGGTTTTGCTTGCAAATGCATCTAGCAAAAAGATAGGTGTGAGTCCAGAGAGGGGCAGAGATGGAAGCCATGAGGACAGCAGATGACGCTGTGCCACGTCCCTGCAGGTGGATGGCGGCTGGGCCAAGTGGGCGCCCTATGGCACGTGCTCACGGACGTGCGGTGGTGGGGTGCAGCTGGCCAAGCGTGAGTGCACCAACCCTGTGCCTGCCAACGGGGGCTCCTACTGTGAGGGTGTCCGCGTCAAGTACCGCTCCTGCAACCTGGAGCCCTGCTCGGCTGCAGGTAAGGGCAAAACTTGCCAAAATTCATGACCTGACATCAAAAGGCGCTGAGCCAAAGGGGAGCCTGGCTTCTTGTGCGTGTTGGTGCCTGTGAGCTGAGTGGGATGAGCTGATTGCAGCTGTGAATCCTCTGCTAACCCACTGCAGAGGCACTGCTTGCATCTCCAGACCAGCTGAATTCCAGCAGAGTCGAGCTGCCAGCACACCAAAACCCCAGACTTGCCACAGCTCCTTGGGTGGGGTGGAGGAGAGCCAATCTCCAAATGTCAAGTTCTTTGATTGTTTCAAAGCGCTTCGAAACACGGTGGAAACATGCCCCTAAATGTGCCCCCTGCAAATGTCAGAGGTGGCCTTGCCATTTGCAGTTCCCGGGCATCCTTGTGTCACTGCATTGTGCAAGGAGCAAAATCTTTCAGAGTTGCTGCGCTGAGGCTGCTGGCTTTGCACGGCCGCCCTTAACAAGCAGTAACACCTGCCCTAGGGCAGTGGTCTGTGCCCCGTCTGATGCACACTGTGTTCCTTTCAGTGCCAGGAAAGAGCTTCCGAGAAGAGCAGTGTGAGGCATTCAATGGCTACGGCCACAGCACCAACCGCCTCACTGCTTCCGTCTCCTGGGTTCCCAAGTACTCTGGCGTCTCACCCCGGGACAAATGCAAGCTCATCTGCCGGGCGAATGGCACGGGGTACTTCTATGTGCTGGCACCCAAGGTTGGTGAGGGCTGGGGGGGCTGCAGGAGGACTCCAGTGCATGAAGCAATTGTCTGTGCTTGGTGGACAGATGGATTTTTGTGGGTTAGAAAAGATGGGAATCCATCAGGCTGGGTTGAATCAGCGCGTGTGCATCCACTTATTTTCTTCAGTGGTGGATTGGGTTTGTGGAGGGTCTTCCTCTGGGTTCATAGAACTGCCTGTAGGGTATGCCTATGGTCCTGCTGAGAGGCTGGAGCAGAGGATGATAATTATTGCACTGAGGAAGTGGTTCACCTCCTGGTCTGGAGCCCCGTTGCATTAGTGTAAAGACAGTGACGTAGCAGAAGCAGGACGCAGTACTGCATGGCTCTTCTCAGAGACCCCAGAATGCCCAATTGCAAAGCAGAGAGTGAGCACGGTACATGCCAGCACCTCCTGAGGTCCTGCTGGGCTGATGCTGAGTGGCTGCAGTGGGACGACTGTGGGGTGATGCAGGGTACAGCTGTTGTCTTGCTCGCTCTCCTGCAGGTCGTGGATGGCACCCCGTGCTCCCCAGATTCCACCTCAGTCTGTGTCCAGGGCAAATGCATCAAAGCGGGCTGTGATGGGAAGCTGGGCTCCAAGAAGAAATTTGACAAGTGCAGTGTATGTGGAGGAGACAATAGGAGCTGCAAGAAGGTCTCGGGCTTATTCACCAAACCCATGTAAGTGCTGGGGGACCACATGTGAGTTCTTCTCTCCCGTAGGGTGGACGCAAGAAGGTGGTGGGGATGGTGATGATCAAATCCTCCAAAGTGCCTGCTCTGAAGTAGTAGTGCATGCTACAAGCCCATGGCTTCTAGTGACGGAGCCAGCTCCGGCACAGTCACACTGCTGAGCTTCTCGTGTCTGGGTGAGCACAGCCTAGATGAAACTCAGCGTGCAGAAATAAATCTCCATGGGATGGAGGAGATAAGCTTAGGGTTGGAACTGCTGCCATCGCAGCGGGTGGGAGATGGGGACACCTGCAGCTCTGTGCCTCATGGCTCGTCCTGCCTGCTTCCTCCTTCCAGGCACGGCTACAACTTCGTGGTGGTGATCCCCGCCGGAGCTTCCAACATCGACATCCGCCAGCGGGGCTACAAAGGGCTGATCAGCGACGACAACTACCTGGCGCTGAAGAACGGGCAGGGCAAGTACCTGCTGAACGGGCACTTCATCGTCTCGGCCGTGGAGCGGGACCTGATGGTGAAGGGCAGCGTGCTGCGGTACAGCGGCACCGGCACCGCTGTTGAGAGCCTGCAAGCCTTCAAACCCATCCAGGAGCCCTTGACTTTGGAGGTGCTCTCCGTGGGGAAAATGACGCCTCCCCGGGTGCGCTACTCCTTCTACCTCCCCAAGGAGAGCAAGGATGACAAAACCTCCTACAAGAAGGAGGGCAAAGCTCCTCCGGATCTCAACAACAGCGTCCTCAGCTTGTCCAACCGCTTGGATGGGGGCAGGCCGACCTACAAGCGTCCCTCCTACAAGTGGGCAGCGGGCGGCTGGGAGGCGTGCTCTGTCACCTGTGGCAGTGGGCTGCAGAAGCGAGCGGTGGCTTGCCATGACTCCTATGGCCACCCAGCCTCCGAGTGCGAGGCTGCCCAAAGGCCGGTAGAGGTGCGGTCGTGCGGGGAGCCCTGTCCGGCCTGGGAAGCGGGACCGTGGGCTCCTTGCTCCAAGAGCTGTGGGAGAGGCTTCAAGAGGAGGATGCTGAAGTGCGTGGCCTCCGGTGGGAGACTGCTGCCCCGGGAGAGTTGCAGTTTTCGGAGGAAGCCGCAGGAGCTGGATTTCTGCACCTTGAGGCCATGCTGAGCTGTGCCAGTGAGGATGAACATGGTGTTTCTCGGGCAGCGGCCATGGGTTGGGAGAAGGGGAGATGTCCATAGCACATATCGAATGAGGGTAAAAAAGGGAAAACAAACAAACGAAAAATAAAGGGACCTGGGTGCGGGGAAGGGCGCACAACCAGGTGATGAGAGGGCTTTCACCGAGCAGGTTGCTCGGAGGTGAGCAGGAACCAACCTACCTCGAAGCTGCCGCACACACAGGGACCCACGGCTGGGAGCCGGAGGACAGACAGACAGAAATCACTGCCAGGATGGCCCCCAGGACACACAGAGGGGACACCCCCAGATGGCTCAGACAACGCCTGCCCTGTCTTCCCAGGGCCAAGCCTACCTCCCCCTTCCCCAATTTTCTGCGTGGGACCAAGCCAATTTACCTACACGATGATGGCAAGTTGTACTGCCCAACAGGGTGCTGGGTTTTGTAGGGACTGTTACCTTCAGGGCTTGCAAGCCTGTGTGCATGTCAACGGGGATCCCAAGTGCCAGGCTGGGAGGTGGTGGCTTGATTCTCATTTTCTCCTCATGTTTATGATCTGACCAGTGTATACTTTATGGTGCTTAACTCTGTGTTGTTTAACATGCTCCCTGTGCTGGATACAAACCTGGCATGGAGGGAATAGCGTTGCTTCCAGCAGAGCCCCTCCTGGGGCTAAGGTTTTCCTATGGTGCTCTGGGCAGGCTGAGACTGGCTCTTAGCTAAATGGGTGCCCAGAGCACAGCCAGACGCTCGTTTACACCCTGGTGCAGAGAAGGGTGTAAAGCTCTTTGGGACTAAAAGGGATCACAGTGGAGGTTCAATGTGAGCAGTAATTGCAGAAATAACCAACTGTACTGTAGCATCATAGTGCGGTGCGCTGGAGCATCCCTGCCTGTTGCTGGTGCTTGACTCTGCTCTGGAAATGGTGCTCACAGGGCCAGCATGCCATGCCCAGGCACTCTGCTGCCTGCCTCACTCCAAGCTTCAGGGTTATTTGGGGCTGTTCTGATCCTCCTGCTCCTGCAGAGCATCCACAACCAGCTGCATCCTCCTGGGTTTTGTGCTAGGGCTCATTCCATACCTCTGTAGTGTCTGGAGGCTGTCTTACCTCATCACAACCCTGCCAGACACCTTCCACCATAAGCCTTCTGCTCAGATCAAACCATCAAGGATCATTTCACATTTTGCTTTCCCACTGATGAAGGTCCCTTGGAGGGAGCTTGCTATGGACCTCTTGACCGAGATATGTCACTATTGGGAAGAGCAGAAGGGTCGACCCCAACTTTTGGGTAGGCTGCTGTCTCAGCAGTGAGATGCTTGGAGTCTGCTCAGCACATGTGGAAGCTCTTCATGCTCCACCAAGCCTCCAGCAGTGGTCAGAAGGGTCCCAAGGAACAGCAGAAACGTTCTTGTGGAGACCTTTCCCACCAGCTTAGCACATTTCTTGTGATACTGTTTGCAGACCCACCCTCCTAGATTTGTGTAATTCTTTTTTGAGCACAGTAATATTTCTGGTCTCCGCGATGCTTGATAGAGCCAGGAGCAGATGTTGTGGTTGCTTTGCACAGCGGGGACGGGATTTAATGTTCTAGGAAATCCCTTCCAGGTCTACATTCCCATGAACGCATCATCCATTTTCTGGACAGTTTTCCTGCGTAGCCGAGCCTGCAGTGCTTTCGTTTGGGGACAGAGCTCCAAGGAGCTGCCCTTTGCGTCTTGCCATCAAATCGATGGTTTCCAAGCCACCGAGGAACTGTCATCCTTGTCCGATGGGGGCGAAGGATGGGGTGGGAGGGACTTCTTGAGTGCAGTTCTTTTGCCAAGTGTGCAGCAAAAGGATGGAGATGCCTATTGTACTGGCTGCTTTGTGTATACCATGTATACTAAACATCGATCTCTGCTGTTTGTGCATCAATAGCAAACCTGAAATAAAACCGTATTTAAAGATCCACCTTGCTCTAGGGGGCTGTTTGTGCCTCCTTGTGCGTTTGCTTGGGTGGCGTTGGCAGAGTACATCCTGGCTTATTGCAGCCTCAGCTCATTAACTGGAGGAAAAAAATTGGAAGGTCCGAACACATTATTCTGAATATTATGGCAATTTGTCTTGCTTCTGCTGTAGAATTTGTAGTTGGCAAAAAAAAACCCAGAACATCATGTTGGATGAATCCATGCGATGGCAGGACTCGCCTGCACCTGGGAGCGATTGCAGCGAGGCTGTGCCACGAGGCTGGTTTTGCTTTAGCCTGGGATCGGGATATTCTTCAGTCAGAACCACAGCACTATAGAACATAGAGTTAAATGGATGAATGCAAACTGGAACAGTGCTCTCATATCCTGGAACAACCGTGTCTGCGCATACCACGAGCTGGGAGTACCCATTCCCGACGTGCTCCTCTGGCGTCATTCATTCCGTCCACAGAGCAAAGCAGGAGCCTCTTTCCCACCACCTCCAGTGGGCCCAGGGAAGGCTGGGGGGTTGCTAGGTGCTTACAAAACACTCAGCAGCTCCCAGCCCTCCTCTGGGCCAGCGGTGAGATAAGGCACTGCCTGCTAATGGGCCACGTCTGCTGAGGGATGCCTGATGTCACTGCCTCAGCTTTTATTTCCCCCTGAACAATTGCAACTTTCTGTGCAGCTATGCTGTAACACTTTGGCAGTTTTATGAGGTTTTTTTTTTGTTTTTTTTTGCATAAGGCAGAGCACATTTGCAATACCAAAGCAAAGCACAACAGCCCTGACTGAACACCTTCCCCTCTGCAGCCCGGTGACAGACAGCTCTGCCTCACCCCATGAAAAGCTCAGTTTCAGCCCCAAGAAATCCCACACTGCAGCAGCTCCAACTGCACACAGCTTTATTAGCAACAGAGGGCTTGCACTTCCGGGGCTCAGCAATAGCCATATGTAACCTGAACAAATCACCCAGAGAGATAAAAACGTGCACAAAGGAAACATTTACCTGGGAGGGAAGGAAGAAGCCAAGCGCTGATGCCAGAACCCCAGTTCAAAGGGAAAGTCTGTGTTTAGCCAAGTTGTGGTCTGTTTGCTCAGGGCCATGCTTTGCTGGGAAGGCTGCAATTACTTAACGGCTCAGGGATAAGGGCAGGCACCTGGAGTGGGGTGGGGACAAGGTGAGCTCCTGGGGAGGGAGGAGCAAAGCTGCAGCCATGTGGAAGTATGGGGGTGGCAGACATGGGGATGCAGGGCACGTTGCTTGTTCCAAACTGCTGGGACGCTTGCATTTCCCCCATTATTTTAGCCTCCCACCCCTTTCTTTGTTCCTGTATGCTTCTCCAGACATCAGCTTTTGCAGAAAGGTGCTGGGTTGGGCAAGATTCTGCTCTCACCCCCTGTACCTTTCCTTACAAACAGAAAGCAAAAAGCATGAGAATAGAATCCACCCTCGTGGCATAGCTGGTATTCACAATGAGACATTCAGAGCTTCAGCCTCTTATAGCAGCACCTATATTGCAAGTCATGCTCCTTACACGATGTCACACACCGGGGTCTTGCTGGGCAGGAGTGTCTCATGGTGCCAGATTGAGTGTTGTGCCCCAAAGCTGCCCCTCATTGAGGCCAGGCACTGAGGATCCCTTTGGAGGAGGGAACACCCCCTTTCTGTTATCATTGCCATTAATGTTGCTCTTTCTTTTTGCCTGGAGACAAAAGCACCACCAGACATATTGGGAACAAACAGTGCTAATGGGGAACACGTGGCCCAGCCAGCAGCAACGCTCACGTGAAAATACTGATGTGGAGCAGCGATGGGGCACAAAAATGCATTTCTATGCCAGGATAATTGATTCCCCCTTTGCCACCATAGGCTGCCGGTCACTTGCAGCAGACTAAACTTCCCCCCATCATCTTCCCCAGCCAGTAAACTGACACGTTCCCACAAGAATCCATGTGAGTTTTGTTTTTTTTCCCCTGTATTTTTTCTAATTATACAACTCAACCAGCGCCAAAATCTGTCTGGCCAACTCGAATCTGGCAGCAGAGCTCCTGCACACAGGGCCAAGAGAATCACCTCCTTGCTGAAGGGCAGCAGGTTGGGAATGTACTCAGACAGAGCTCTTTGCAAGGCTCCAAACGGAGATTTCTATGCATGCATACACCTCCAGAGGAAGGTTGGCATTGGCTGCCCGTGTCAGCACTGTGCCTGGAGGTGAAGGCATGAGCTGAGCCCATCAGGTGTCTGCTAATGACTGCAGCCCTTAGCTAGGGAAAGCACCTGGAAATGGCAGCATGGGGCAGTGGTGTGAGCCCCCAGCTCCTCCTGAGGACAGTGCTATTGGGTTTGGTGTAATTAATATCGAGTTCAGCCTGGGGGACAGAAGGGCTCCCAGGGGCTTATTTAATGTGGCTTGATTATTTATTTTTTGAAGTGTTTTATTTTCCCCCTTGTAAATGAATTTAGCGCTGAGGAGAGGTGTGGGATTGGCAGCTCTGGAAATACAAGCCCTGAAGGGCAGATGTTTTGGAGTCCTGCAAGTAACAGCACTGCATGCGGTCCGGGCGTGAGGGCAATGACTCGCAGTCACTGCAACAGCTGCTATGTGCTCTGCACTCATAGATACTGCTGTGAGAAAGCAGAGCACACTGCCCACAGCCACCAGGCACTTGGGGACACTTCTCAGTGTCCCTGCACTGCTTTGGCCTGTCATGCAATGCCATATTGTTTGCACTGCATTCCAAGTGCAGTGTGCAGGCTCCAAATAGCAGAAATAGGTGTTGGCAAGATCCTGGTCACTGCAGGGACTGAATCATAGAATCATAGAATCATAGAATCACCAAGGTTGGAAAAGACCTAGAAGATCATCCAGTCCAACCGTTCACCTATTACCAATAGCTCCCACTAAACCACGTCCCTCAACACAACATCCAGCCTTTCCTTGAACACCCCCCAATGACATGTGCTGTCCAGAAGCAGCCCCATGTGCTGTGTGGATGAGGTCAGGACATCTGGAGTGGGGATGGAGGGGAAAGTGCAGTGAGGTATGGTGATCTACGTGGGCATCTCGTACACCCAGGGAGTTTGGGAAAAGCCAGCATCCCCATGCTCTGAGTGAAATTTCCTGCAGACACCCAGGGTCAGGGCTCTGAGCACTTCGTGGAGCTGTGGGTGTCCCTGTTCAGTGCAGAAGAGATGGGACTGGATGGCCTGGAAAGGTCCCTTCCAACACAAACCATTCTATGACTCCATGGTTCTAAGAAAGTAGGGTGTCCAAAGGCTTCATCTACCTTTGGGCTCCCTCTGGATTTAGGAGGAGGTGATGGGTTTTGGGGTATCACCATGGTGAAGCACTGCCTTGATTGGGGCAGTCCCAAGGTGCCCATTAACCCCTGCCTTCAGCACTTACTTTTGAGGTGAGGAAAAACAACCACAGAGGGAAACAGGGACTGAAAGACAAGGAGAACCTGGACGGTGCTGTTTTATCCCAAAGGCAGAGAAAAGGAAACAAGGCAAAGGAATGAAAACAAGGGAAACCTCGAGAGGGAGACGTGCTTGGCAGCCCCTACTGCCTCGCTCTGCAAACACGGAGCAGCTGTTATCCCACCTGGACCTGGATGCTGGCTTCTCTGCATCCCTGGAGCATCACGGAGCAGCGGAGATGCTCCACGAGTGCTCAGGGCACAGGTAATGCACAGCCCTGAGAGGTGATGGGGAGAAAGGAAAACACTTTTATGTTGTTCAGAGTGAGCTCTTTCTTTCTCTATTTTAATTTTCTGTTGTATGAAGCTGTGGGGAATGTGCTCCCTTTTGAAAAGGAACTCTTTGGGTTGTTCCCTTTTTCTTTGTGATCTACATTACCAGTTTTGGGGTTTTTCAGGGCCAAACTGCATGTGCCATCACCCCTGTGCCCAGCAGAAATCACCAACCCATCACCCCCAGTTTCCATTGCCCTCGCTGGCTCTGTATTTAATGCATTACATGGGAAAGCAGAGCTGGTCACTTGGCCCCAGTGGTGGCGTTGGGTTTTTCTTTGTGGTTTAAGGCCAAGCTAAAGGGCAAAGGGATTTGGGAAATGAGTGGTGCTTCGGGGTGGGCGCTGGCTCTGGGTAATCCCTAATCCCACAGCATGCAGAGAAATCCTGGCTTTGGGACACCACAAACACCATCAATCCACGTCAGCGTAGCGGGGTGGAAACAAAATAGGGGGAATTTGCTTCATAGGAGGGGAAGAAGCACGAGGCAAGGTTTGAATCGCAGGGGCTGCGTGTGAAGGAGAACAGAGCTGGCAAAAATGAAGGGAAAGACTCAAACCCCTCCATCCGTGGGAAAAGATGGGGTGGACGCAGCCCCTCTGGGGGACAACCTAAAATCTGGGGGCTGCCTGCAATGGAATGGTTCCTATTTGTCTGGGGAAAAGCGACGTCTGCTCCAATTAGCGCGTCGCGTGCGCGTGCGGGGGAGGAGATGTTTTTGTTTCCTCTTAGGAAGAAAGAAAAGAATTAATAACAACAACAACAACAACAACAAAGCACGAAACGAGCTCTGTTGCAAAGCCAGAGTGCTGTGTCAGAGAGACCGGGATCCAAACGGTTTCTCTGAACCCTCCAAGAGGAACGGAGCATCCAACGCGGCTGGAAAACGGAGCTCTACCTCCTAAAGCTGCCCTGGGGGAGGCCTTCAGTTGTTGAGGATGATTTTACAGCTCCCCACAGCTGGGAGTTCAGGAGCAGATGCCGACGGGGGCTCTGGAAGGGTTAAAACCATTCCGCCTGTTCGCACTGTTCCTTCTTAATATCGCCCTTGAATAAACAAACAGGCGAATCCCACCCTCTCCCCGGAGACTCTTACTTGGCTTGTTTCAGAGAACAAATGATAATTATTTGCCTTCATTTATTTATTTATTTAAAATTTCATTGTCTCCTTTCGGCAGCCATCGGGATTGAGGAAACCCAGTGACAAAATGAACAAGGGAAGCCATAAACTCGAATTAAACAAATCACTGATAAGCCCAGAGCAGAAAGGAGATAAAAACCCGATGACATTCCCCTCGTGGCACAGAGGCTGGAGATGTTGATAAAGCGCAGGGAGACGGATGGATGCAGCCAATGGATGCCAGTAGGTTAGGAGATGCAGGCGCAGCCGTGTCCTCCTTGTTCTAGACATTAGGACTGGCTTTTTGGGGATAGGTCAGGAAAATATCAGATAGATCAGGACGTTTGCAAGAAATTCCATTGCTTTGCTGTAGCAGAGGCTGGTTGGCTGCAGGGGATACGCAAAGCACTTTGCATCCTCAGGATTCAGCCCTTCTTCTGCTTCTCTGCTTCTTTCCAAGGACCAGTTTCAGTTTCTGGGGAGGAGAGCAGTGCTGCATCACACAGCTGCCCAGGGGTGTGGGGGGGTCACCATTCCTGGGGGTGTTGCAGAGCTGTGGGGATGTGGCACTGAGGGATGTGGGCAATGGGCACACTGGGTTGGGCTGCGTGGGGATGAACAAAAAGAGTAAAGGAGAGGTGGTGCTGCTGTGGATGTGATGGCATTCATGTGGTTGGAGCTGCACTGAGCATCCCCCAGGCATTCCCACACCTCAGCAAAGAGACTCCACGTTTTCCTTCTTTGGGAATGGGATTCGTGTGCCTTTCCCCTAATCTCCCACCTGAGAGCCACTCAGAGCCGATAGTGAAAGACTTCCCCCTGCATCAGGATTGCTGCCTTGCGAGATTAAAAACTGCCCCTCAAGGAATCCCCCAGCCATAACAAAGCCATTTGCTAAGATAACATTAGTTCAGCATTGGGGCTACTCATGGCACGCTCAGAGGAAGCACTCAGATGGCTCCTGTGGCCCTGACCAAAACCAAATGCATCCACAGACCAAAGGGACCACCTGGCACGTCCCATGGATGCCGTAAGTCACTTACTGGGTTGAACTGGGAAAATCACTTCTAGACATGCCTAACGGAGGGAGAAAGCAGAGCTCAGGTTTGTGCCCTTTTGCACGTGATGGCAATGGGATGCTTTCACAGCAAGAGGGGACAGGATGGAGGGAAGAGCTGCTACTGTTGGATGGGGTTGCATCACTGCAGGGGAAGGGAGAAGGAAAACAGGAGTTTGGAATCAGGGTGAAATTCCTCCTGGCTCTCTGCTTTCTTCAGAAATAAAAATACCCCAAATAGCCTGAGAACGAGGCTGCTCAGCAGATGGTACTTTGCCCCTTTTGGGATGCTTTCTATCTTTGCAGCTGGGAATCCATTATGGGAATCTGATCCCAGGAGGCTGCAGAGCTGCAGGCCCAGGAGCTTGGGTAGCTTGGGAAATTTGCAGTTGTGCCCTGCCCTGAACCTTGGATGTGAGCCCAGCTCTGATCTCGCTCCATCCGAGTGCCACTGAGCCCCTTCCCCAGGCTGCAGCTCCCCAGCCAGCCAAGCTCTGCAAAGCCACCCCAGGTCCCACAGTCTCTTTCTGTCCCAAACCATGTCCCAGTCCCCAGCTTCTTTGGCGGACTGCTGCATCCAAGCACGCACCATATGTGCTCTCATCAAAGCATTTCCCAGTTTCCTTTCCCAGCACTGGTGGCTTCCTCCAACCTTTTCTTGGCTGTCCCTATTCCTGGGGACATCTTGTGCTCAGCACACTCTATGGATGAATTTTCCATGAATTTTTAGGAACACTTGGTGAGAAGTGCAGTGATTCTGTGACCAAAGCTGGAAGCAGATGTTGGAGAGATGCATTTTGGTGCTCACCAGTCACCTCAGCTCAGCATCTCCTGCACTGCATTTGGGAGCAGGAGCAACAGGGACGAGATTTTTTCAGAGCCATGAGACATTGTGGGAAAGCCAGCTGAGCTCTGAACAGCTTCTTCCTTTGGGTTTCCTTTGAAAGTAACTCCCAGTTTATTGCCTGCTTTGCAGAGCTGTGCCTGCAATGGTGCCTGAGCCCAGAAATCAGGGTGTGATTTGGGGTTGTGCTGTAGGCTGCAAAGGATGGAGAGGAAGGCTGCATCCCTTGGGATGCTCTCAAGTGCTTAAATGGTTTGTGTTTACGAGAGCTAAAAATATTTCCTCGGGGAGGGAGAGGGGACAGAAGGTCTGTTTGCTCTGTTATCACTTGTAGGCTCTGTTTTGGAATGAGGCTTAAATAGAAATAACATGGTATTAAAGGTTAAGTAAAACACAATCAAGCAGCATCCCTGCGTGGCACAGGGCAGCTGGGATGAGCAAAGCCCCTGCATGGCCCTGGGGACAGAATAGGGACGGGGATCCCAGCCCTCAGAGCTGCCACGCATCCCATGGCCATGCTGGTACCTTGCTCAGCAACGCCTGGGTTCCTGCCCTGCACTGCAAACTGCAGCTGGGCCAGGAGTTTCTTGACTGAGCTCTTCTTCCCCCCAGACTCAGCTGAAAAATAGGAATCTAGGGACACTGCCCATGGGAAGAGGTTCTGATGGATGCTCTGTGAGCAAGGGGCTGGGTTCTCCTCCAGATGGGTCACATCACCCACGGTGAGCTCAGGGTTTGCAGCAGGGTGAGAGGGGGGCAGCGCTGCTCAAGCTTTCTTTTTAAAGGGCATTCTGTTTCCAGTGTGAAAAGGGAATAAATCAATGACTCTCATCGTCCCGAGAAAGGCATGTCTGTGCCCCTGCACCATGAGACCCTTGTGTTGCCCCCTGTGACACTGTGTTGGTGATGCACCAACAGACACAGGCTGGGCATTGTGCAATGTGTTCCCAACAGCCCAGCAGTGCCCAGCCACGCTGCAGAGCATCAGCACGGCCCCCCCAGTGCCATGATCCCCTTGGGCAATCAATGGGACATTGTCTGGGGAGAGCACTGGGTGACATACAGCAGAGTGGAGCGGTGGCACAGAGGTCAGGAACGTGAGGACGGTCCAAGTGCCTTTCCCCTGCGCTCATTAATTCTATACATTTTGCATAAATTCCAGCACAACGAGGAATTTGGGAGTGCTACCAACCCATCTGCTTTGAACCGGCACTCTGGTTTGCAGGAAGGAATGTTACTGGGAACAACTCCGTGCCTAACATTGGGTCTGATCCAAATCTTGCTGCTTCACCCTTCTTTCTGCCTTGAGCTGAGACCAAACCTGGGACTGAGAAGAAACTTGGGAAAGAGAAGAAAGTTGAGCAACCTGGGGCTGCATTCACATCTGAGCCTCCCAGCTTACCCCGATGCTTCCAGCCCCTTGCAGATGGATGGGCAGTGCTGATGATGGAGGAGACAGAGCCAGATCCTGGCTGGGGAGTTTAGAGAAAGAACTTGTAAATGGAGAAAGTGATGAGCACACAGGGATGCCTTTCCAACAGCCAGGAGAAGAAGAAATAGGGAGCTGACACCCATCTTGGAGGGTCATGTGTCTCCTGATGGGCCGAAGGACCATCTGGTGAAAGGATGGGGTCTTTAGAAGATGCCCATGGCAGCAAGAAGGCAACACAGGGACTGAGTGGCTCTGCTTTCCAATTCCTGCTTTGTGCACAGGGTCTGACTTTCTCAGCTTGAATTCCTCGTGTCTATTCAGACCATGTCTGACTTCCATCCCAGGCACGTCTGTGCGGCTGCTTAGGGAAAACAAAGCTGGGAGGACAGAGATAACATTGCTGATGTTGGAAATCTGTGCATCCCTTGGTGCTGGGAGATACCTACAGCAAGTAGGGAACTTTCTATGAAAAATCACAGGTTTTGCTAAGGCTCTCGGGAAAACATTGCTCTCCTGCCAACCTCACATCGCATCAGTGCTTTGTAGAGAAGATCTCCCTCTGTGCCCTGCATGGATGGATGTGTTTTTGCCTTGGCCCCACCAAACAGCCGTGAGTCAGCTAATCCAAACCAAACAGCGCGGGGAGCGGGAGGTCAGCCCAGTGCACGGCTGTGAACTCAGAAACAGCACCTCGAGCAGAACCAGGGATAAAATCACAGCACCATGAGCAGGGCAGTGCTGGGTGTCAGCGAGGACTGGTGCCAGGTCAGGGAGCACCCGGTGTGACACTGGGAGATGGTGACTTTTCCCATCCCCTCTGCAACCTTTCTATGCAGATGCTTCCCACCAAGAAGCCTCTGCATTCACTTCACCACTGCCTTCTTGTTGCATCCTTCTTATTTTTGGGGTCATTTTCACCCCTGTTTTGCTGGCTCCCCTTTCTTTCTTACCCTTCTCTCCTCCAAAAGCATCCCTTGGACATGCGCAGAGAAAAAAGTCCTTCCAGCCAGCTGCCAGCTCTGCCTTTGGCCTCTTGCTCCGGTTTCATGTTTGACTCTAATCCCACAATTTATACAGCGGAGCCCTGGGCCAAACCCAGCGTCTCAGGAACCTGCCAGAAACCTCAGCTTTTCCTAAGCTCTATAAACAGTTTCCTGCCTCCATCCCTGCACCTGCTGCCCATGCCGTGCTGCCGGCCAGGGATGCTGGTGGCATCCTGAGGATGGTGGTACCCTGGGGATGGTGGTACTGTAGGGATGGTGGTACCTCCAGGAGGGACAGGATGCCCAGGGGTGCTGCTGTGCTGGATGGGATGCCCTGTGTTGCATCCCCTTCGCTCTGCTTGGCAATATCTGAGGGCTGTGAAACACTCACCCAAAGCCTGAGCAGTGAAAGAGTTCGATTCCTCAGAGCATCTCAGGGCAACCTGGGAGAAAGCAGACAAGGAGTTAGGGGAGGCAGGGACAAGGAGAGACGTGTAGGTGTCCCAGACACCAGCGATGGCTGCTGGTGTGCAATACAATCTTTTGAAGTGGAGCTGCAATGTATTTCTTCATGTTAGTTTCCTTCCCCTATGTTTTCAGAACAACTAAAATCCCAGCGATGCAAACAAGCAGCAGGAGTGGGGCCTGGGGAAAGCACAGAGTGGGGAGATCTCTTCTTATTGTGCTTCTAAAACGCAGTGAGGACACTGCAAATTACGGAGCACCATCTGCTGGCACCTTATTTATTGACTGCCTCTTTCCTTGTGATGCAGCACTGGGGCAGCACTGAAGCAGCTGGGGGCATTATACAAGGGTGAACCCAAAGCATGGTGAGTGGTGAGATGAGAAAACCAGTGGGCAGAACGTGCTGGGTAAATGCACAGAGGCAAAATCCCACTCGCTCCATCGAGGGCAGGACTTCACCCATAAACCTCATCCTAATGGGGAGTTCAGAGCTTAAATTCATTAAACTGATGGTGTCCTTCCTGAGCGCAAGATTAAAACCAGGAGACTTTGCAAGTCTCTGCTGGCAGCATTCGGGGCTCCAGTCGAACGGGACATAAAGCCATTTCCTCCTGTATAAATCACCTGAATGCTTTTAGCTCACCCCGAGGCCCAAAACAATGCTTTCAGCTCAGGTTTGCTCCTTGGTAATGCGTGCTGGCAGCTGGCCCCATCAGTCTCCGGCACAGACATGTAACTCAAGCCTCTGACAAGTGCTGATTTAGAGCTTCAGCCAGTAAATCAGCATAAAATCATCGGAGTGCTTGCTCATATTTTTCCAAGTCGGGCTTTCTCACATGCAAGGCAAAAGGTCCTGGGACCCAGTGCTCACTATGGGACACCAACCGCAGGCTGCTGTGTCCTGGACCCTGCAAACTGCTGTCAAATCCACACAGTGTGCAGGATGGAGATGCTGGGAAAGCAGTGCAAGAGGGCTTTCTGCTGTGGAAGCCGTTTGTGCATGCATGAAGCTGGCACTGCACAGCTTTGGAAGCCCTTTGCAGCGCAGGGAGCTGAGGGTGCACTAGTGGGGTGTGTCATGCTATATGGGATGATGCTGGGCCACTGTAAACGAGCCAAGGGCTGTGTTTCCCAGCATGGATTTCTCTCCCGTGGGCTCTTCTGCTGGCACGAAGGGAATGGGAAATTTGCAGTACTTCAAAGCCCCTCTGCCACTGTGTGATCCAAGCCAAAGTGCAGCCCCAATCCATCATCCAAAGAGGGATGTTTGTGTATGTGTGTGAAATGACAGACTGGAGAGACCCGGAGCTGAAAGCCAGATGCTTTCCCCAGAAATAAAACAGGTTAAGGGCTTTAAAATGCAGGAAGAGCCTGTGAAGGAAGCACCACAGCAGTCAGTGGCTGTGACAGCCCTGGCCCTGGGTCCCAGCATCCCAACAAGAATCTACTGCCATCCTCTGTGTGCTGAGGGGAGACAAAAGGACACGACCCAGACCTCTCAATCATTCCACATCAGTAAGACCTTAATGGGGGCAGAGAACTGCAGAAGTCAGCATCCCCCATGGGTTACAGCTAACGCTTCTCCAAACAAACACCCATCAGATGCTGATAAAAAGTTGCTTTCCGTAAACACTCTGTTTATTGCACTGTCCCACTGATTCCTCTGCTGTCAAAACAGAAAGGCAAACGAGAGCAGGGCTGAAACCCATCCCAAAGTCCTACCAAGCTGTGAAAGCATTTGGTGACTTTGTTCCTGGCTTGGATTTCTTTTTTTTTTTTTTTTTTTTTAAATTGTTTGGATTTGGTCACAAGCAGGAAAAGCTGATCTCATGACAGCTGAAAAAGCCCCGTGAGAGCCTGAGCTGTGAGATCTGATGTCACGCACGGGCAGTCCGGGAGGGAAGGAAACCTCTGTGTCAGCCCAGAAAAGCAGGCAGCTCAGCTCGCCTTGCCTCCAGGCAGCTCTTGGTGGCACGTGGATGCCCGAGGCTTGTGCCTGAATGGTCAGCCCCAGGGAGGGGCTGGGGCTCCCACCAACATCCCATCCAAAACCTGCCCGAGAGGTTGGCACGCAGGCTGAGTCAATGGAAATAGGGTGACAGAGCCATTCAGGTTGGAACAGACCTCTAAGAACATCCCATCCAACTGCTGCCCACCTCCCTCAGTGCCACATCCCCATGGCTCTGGAACACCCCCAGGGATGGGGACCCCACATTGGGGAGCCTGTAAACATCAGTGCCAGCTGCCACCCAGAAATGGGGGAACAGCAGTTGTCAGAGAGCTCAGAACCCCCTCAGCTGCCAGGTGCTGCGCTGTGCACACGTGAAGGTGTTTCAGTGCAGGGAAGCATTCAGGCTCAGGCTCTCGTTCCCAAAAGCTGATGCAAAGAATCCTGTTTCACTCTATACACTGCGATTAGCCACGTGTACAATGGGCTGACCACTGGTATGCGTGGCAATGCCAGAAGTAAATGAAACTCCTCCCTGGGGAGAGGGCTCCATTGCTTTTGGCTGCTGAATTTGTGAAGTTTTTTCACTATTTTTTTCTTTTTTTTCCCCCAAAATGCCTCCTTGGAAAACGCCTCTGGATTTTGATGTGAAGAAAAAAATAAACCCAACGCTTTTGGTTGTGCAAGGAAAGAAGGAGGAAAAAAAATCATTGATATTTTTGAAAGCTGGATGATTTAACCAAACATGGGAGAAATTGAATAGCATCCACAGCCATTGGATGTGCTTAAAAGAGCTCCGTGAGCCTGACAGGAGAGCAGCCTGCTGACACCTTTCACATGCAATGAGTGCAGCTCACTGCTGCAACAGGAATAAGCGATGGGGAGGGAGCCTGGGTGCTGGGAAGGCGAGGATACAGAGGGCTGTCCTGCCTCAAAGCACTCGTGTGCTGTGGCCTGCCTCTATTCTGTGCTCATACACTGCAAGAAAGGGATGGGGGCAAAAAGGGCATGAAAGAGAAATGGACAGGAAAGTGAGAAGTGGTGGTTTGCACTCTTTAATTTCCTTATCCAAGTGGAAGCTGCTCTGGTAATGTGTGCAAGGAGTGAATACCTCCAAATCTTCCCAGCAAATGAATAAAACCAATAATATTCACAGAGCGTGGATTCGACTGATTTCCCTCCGTGTGTTTGGACTGAGATCTGACAGCTCTGGATCCAAAGGGGAGATCTGTGTTCGACTTCCTTGGCTCTGGATCACACCTAAGGAGCTCGTGTTTGAGCAGCATCACCAAAGGCCCTACCAACACACCTCCACTGAACGTTGGGTCGCTTTTCCCTTTTGGTCCACAAATAAATTATCTGCCAATAAATGGAACCAGAAGTGGCTTGGCCAGATGTTCTGCTGGGGCCCCAGGGAGTTGTGGTGCAGAAAGGGTAAAATAGGAGGAAAGAGAGAAAAAAAAAAAAAAGAAGGCAAATAAAAGATAAAATATGAACATGGCAGCTCCATTGGCTGCTCAATGCTGGCGTGGGACCCCCGGCTGCAGCAGCTGTGCCCATTATAGGGTGAGGTGCAATGCCCCAGCTGGGAGGCCGTGCCAAAAGCAGGATATGGGAAAAGACCATTTTCAAACACAGATGGATTAAACCTTGATTCCTTTTTAAATGAGATTTTAATGCGCTGGCTGCACGCGGCCGATGGATATGGGAGACGCTGGCTGGACATGAGATGGGTTGGGGTTGAGTGTCCCCAGGGCACCTTGCTGACCCCATGGTCTCCCATGGGAGAGGCACACTTTGGTGTCCCTGTGCTCTCAGCCCTTGTGCTGAGCTGCAAACCCTGGAGCACAACGCTCTGCAACCCACCAGAACCTACAGACGGGAGATGGACAGATGGAGCAGAAGGACCTTTGATTTTGTTGTGTTTTTCCAGCTGGAAAGAGAAAGAGAAAAGAGAACGTTCCCACAGAGGAAACACTATTTACTTTTTTCTTTTTTTTTTTTCTTTTTTTTTTTTTTTTTTTGCTTTTTTATTGTGGTGGAGCTGAACTGTAACAAGTCACTTTAGCTCTGTTGAACGCAGGATTTTCTCACTTTCCGGTAAACTGCAGTTACCATGGAGAGCTCTGAGACAAGCCAAAGGCAAAACATTGGAAACTACACCCAAACTCACCGCAGCCATATCAAACAGTTAATTAGAAAGGCCGTCCATGTGTTTCCCATTCCCTGGAATGGTTTGAATCAATTGCCCCGTGATTTATCACCTGTTTTCTGTGCGAATGGTTCAGCTCTGCTCTTGTGCATGTGTTGGAAGGGGGATCTGTGCTGTGCAGCAAAGGAGGGGAGGGAGATATTAAGGACTTGCAAAAAAAAAAAACCCAACAAAAAACAATCATCAAATAACCAATTCTGCTCCTTCCTCCAGTCTAAATCTCCCCCCGGAATGATATGCTCTGGATTCTGGTGGGATTTCTATCCCTTGGCAACTCAGAAAAAAGGAGAGACAGCTTTTGATTTTGGAGCACGGAGGATTACAGCTCACCGGGCCATGGCAGGGCTGTGCTGTGCAGGGCCCAGATAGGATTCAGTCCCAGCTGCTTCTCTCCCCTTCCCTGTGCCCATCCCTGCATGAAACAGAGCCCATCCGGATAGGTGGCTGCAGATCCTCATCCCTGGGTTGCATCTCCTTTCCAGGAACGCTTTTCCCCACTTGTCTCATGCCTTAAAACCCACAGACCACGGGGTTCCCCCTTGGTGGCCCATGCATCCCGTTGCCACCCTGCTGGCAGGCATGCAGTGATGGCTGATGGGCAGTTGGTGAAGCCTTAATGCCCAGAGCTAAATTCCCAGTTGGGCTTCATCCCCGCTCCCCCTTCACAAGGCATGGGGAGAACACACCTTGGTCCTGCCTTGTGCCAAGAGCTTCAGTGCAGAGTTGGTTTCTCCTAGCATCCAAAAGCAGCAAGAGATGGTTTGGAGGAGATCCCTCTGACCTTCAGCTCTTTCCAAAGCACGTTGACCTGATTTTTC